GCAACTTGAGTTTGTGAGCATTAAGAGGTTGTCTAAATACCATGCTACTAGGATTGTCTTCATTCGCATGATTCCATTGTTATTGCACTTTAAGCGATCCAACAATTTGAGGACAAATCTTTTCAAGAGGAAGGGAATGATTCAAGTCCTACAAGCTATTCGTGCCTTATTTGAAGATCCACTCATGGTTCATTGGGATCTAATGAATAGAGTTAAAAACAAGTGCAAGACTTGAGTAAGAACCATGGGGACCGTGGCTTAAGACCTAGTTAAGGGTCACCGATTGGTTATGTCTTATATTTTCTGATTTTTTTTGGGTCCGTGTTTAGTGAGTCATTAGTTAGTGAAATACGCTGCTCGGTCATGTGGACCAACGTTGGAGCCGGATTAGAGTTAGTTCTTGTTTATCCAAATTAGGTTTAGTTTAATTAAGTTTTAGTTCTAATTAAGTTAGGAGTTGAGTCTTGTAAGCCTATAAAAGGCATCACTTGTTCAATTATGAAAAAGAAGACGATTTATGAAAGGAAATTGAGAGTTCATCTTTTTTTTGTTCCTTTGTCAATGCCCTTGATACAAAGTGAGTCGCGTCTCCTTGGTTCAAATTTTGGCTTATCAATTCAAGATTGCCTTGAATTGTGGTGCCTTCCTACCCTTGTAAATAATCTCGAACTGCCCTTGATATGGTTTAGAATCCATCTTTTGTATCCATAGCCTAATAAAAAATAGATCATTTTGCTGCCTGATCGATTCCATTTCTTCTCGAGCGGTCCTTGGAGAATCAGGTTCACATCAGCAAGGGAGCAATAAAGGGATGGCAACGGGGGCGGGCACCTGCCCTGTGGGGGGTCGTTGGGGCGGGGGGGAATTTTTTCCCCTCGTTTAAAAACGGGGCGTTTGGAAAAAAAAATATATATGTACATAATTATATATATAATGATATTATCAATTATACTACTAATTATACATGTTTATTAATAAAAATTATTAATTATTTATACTAAATTTATTAATACATTTATGTTAAATTCCTCACTACACTTAATACAATAACACATTTTCTAAAAAAAATACAATAATAATTTAGTGATTGTATTTGTATCAAAAGTGAAAACTTGATTATTTTAATTATATTTGTTTTATCATATTAGATTGTATTCAAATAACCTTTGTTTAATTATTTTTATGAGTTTCAATTATGAAGTTACAATGAATAATAATTTGGTGATGTGTTGATATTTTAGTACTTGATTATTTGCTCAAATTTAATTATAATGAAATTATATAATAAATTTTTTTTAGCCCCACGGGTGCCCCTGCGGGGGAAGCTGGACCGGGGCGGGGGAAGCCGGGGGGGGGGGCGGGGGCGGGGGCGGGGGCGGGGGCGGGGGGAATTAAAATGCAACGGGGCGGGGGGTTGGGGGAGGTGTCCCCCGCCCCATTGCCACCCCTAGGATGGTGGATTTATGTTGATAAAGAGAGAATTTGACATCGTTGTTTTTGCTGCCTGATTTTGTCATCATAGCTGATGAAAACTAGGCTTGCAGAAAAAGAAAAAATTTGAATTCCTTAACAATTTCGATCCATAGATATAGCACTCGAAAAAAATAGAAATCTTAAAAAATTTGAACAAATCTACAAAAAGAGGTTTGGAAGGAGATTTTAGAGCAACCAAAATCAACCAATAATTTTTCTTGATAATGTTGATTCCTTGTCAACTTTGATCCTTAGAGATAGCATTGAAAAGAAAAGAGAAATTTTAGAAAAAAATTTGAATTCTTTGACAGCATCGATCCATAGAAATAGCATTAAAAAAAGAGAAATTTTAGAAAAAAAATTTGAACATATCTACAAAAAGAAGTTTGGAAGGAGAGTAAAATTGAAACTCTTTTGGAGAAGAAAAAGAAAAACAAAAAAGAAAGAAATAAGTAGGAAGGAGTGGGGATGAAATCAGTTGGGACTCTGGCTCAACCCTTCCCACATTGCGCGAATGTCAAAATGTCATGTGAAAGGCACATGATGCGACGATAAAAATTTCATGTGCAAGGGATGTTCCTTCATTATATACTTATGTTGAAAAGTCTCAAATTACCCCAACTAGCCATACAACAACAGTAATTTAACTATATATTTATTTGCATTGTATGAAAATGAAAATGAGGGCAATCTAAATACATATTTACATTAAGGGTGCGTTTGGTTCCCTATGGAATTAGGGTTTAGAATTGGAATTGGGGTCCTAATTCCAATTCCATTGTTTGGATTCTGCTTCCCTCAAAGAATTAGAACTGAATCTGAATTCTATAGGACTCCAATTCTATGAATTGAATTCTTTACTCGATCAAAAGAATTCTAATTCCAATTCCACAACTAAATCGGTTCACACGCGGATCTAGTATGGGTCAAAAATTAAAATCGGGTCAAAGGATATTGGCACCCCTTTCTTCCTATCTAACTCACCATTTTCCTCAGCCGCTAGTGCTCTGCTCTCCACCATCACTTCCACCTGCAACCCTAATATCTTACCTTTCCCACCACCATCTTCCCCCCTGCCTTCCATTTCTCTGGCCACTTCCTCCATCTTTCGCCACTCTCGCCACTCGTCCACCCCAAATTTCAGACACATTTAGGGCTTGTGAGATACCCAGGAAGGATAATGCGAACGCAAAGTTGACCTCCAATAGCAGAGGAACACCTTTTGGTCTCTGAGATTTTGCCGCTATTATTGCCCCGAATCGAAATGGCCTGTGCGGAACTTTGAGCCTAAAGATGTACTAACACATGGCAACCTCGAATAGAGTACCAGTGGTTCGAGCTAAACACCCATCATATTAAGGAAATTACAAGCCAAGTTGGTAAGAGTTGTTTCTTAATTTTTCCAGCATCAAAATAATCTACTATCAAAATAATCTCTTAATCTTTCCAGCATCTTTCTAGCACATAATTATTTTTTGCTTAAAAAAAAAGAAAATTATGATTAGCCAAGAAGGGAAGGGAAGGGAAGAGAGGGGGGGTTTGGTTTGGTTGATAACGAAACCAATTCTATAACCTGTTGCCCGCAAAAAGCTATTTGGGACGCCATCTTGAACAACAGGGCAGTTCAGGATCTCTGGGGCTCAATCTCTGCAAGTCATATGCAACAAATTTATTTGACAAAATTTTCAAAATATATACGTTTATTCCCCTGCCTCCTCTGTATGATTAATCATACAGAGTCATTTACCTCAGCACCAATTCATCCTACTAGGAGTCTTTTAGATAATTTGAAGAATTCTAGGGTGAAGTTTTATAATTCATATCTGTTCGTTGCTTAAAATAAAAGCTTTCTAAACCTTGTTTGAACTTCCTGTATTGCCTGACAAAGGCCAGAGACATGTTTAGCTAAAGCTTGCCTGCACTTGTGCTTTACAATGGTTGCTTGTCTTCAATTTATAGAGCACTTTATCTTGTTGTCTTGTTGTTTCTTTTCTTAAAGGAAAAACTTGCTGTCGGGTCAAGGCCTGAAAAATCTTTTATGTATCGTCTCAAGGCTGCTAACTTCTCGTCAATGGACATGGAATGTGATGAATGTTTGTTTTGGACTATTTAATGCTGTCATAAATTCTCTCACACACTCTCTCTTAGCGTATATTTAAATGTGTTTGATTGTTCCTAATATGTTACAGGAAGGCTTGTTTAACCTTGCCCTGCATTTAAGTGAAGTCGCACCAATTCTTCTTGATAGCAAAGTTGTGGGCTGACATGAAGTTGGGCATGCTTAAAGGCTGAAGATCGTCACTTCAGTCTTCCTTGTATCTGTGGTTTTATAAAGGTATTTATTTTCAAGCATTTAGAATGCTGTGAATAGGTTTTTGATGTGAAAATTATAGCTCTATCTCTGGCTTTCATGTTTCAACTATTGAGCCTGGTAATAACAGTTCAATTTTGACACTAACTAGAACAGTTGTCCTGCAGTTCTTTGGTGTATGTTTCTGTATATAATCAATTGTTACGCATATTTTAAAGCTTATGTGGTGTAACAGTTGGGCCTTCCCTGCAATTCATTGCTAGTTAGGAAATTGTAAATAGCTATCTTTATCTCACACACACACACATATATAGAAGAGTTTCAAGGGGAAGATGATTAATCTTTTGTTCTGTAACTCACATAATTGAGTGTAATAGTTTCCCAAGTTTGTTTTTCAAGGCAAAATGGGCAGTACCAAATCAAAACACTAACCTGATCATAGCAATGAATCACAGAAGCTAATAATTATGTTTACCAACAACTTGCACAAACTAATGAATTACAAAATTGTAGCTAATTCCTAAGCAATCTCTAAAGTATTAAAGGTGTATAAGCCAATATATTTGTTTCTGTCAATAGTTGTATTCACAAGCTGTAAATATAATATTTCGGGAAAGGCAAAAATATTATTGCAGATTATTATGTCAGAGGTTTCATTAGCTATCATTTTAGCTTCAATTGACTATGTAGAATTTAACACACTCACTTTTTAAAATTTGGTCTTTTGACTTACCTTTTCTTATTGTTGTCGTGATTTTGAATTGCAAAATTTGGATATTGACATGGATAAGGAAGGAGACGAGCAAAAAACAAAAAAGAGAAAAGTGGTAGTTGCAAATTATATGGTAACAGTAGCCACATTAGTAGTTTGGTGGCATGAGAAACATATAGTAAAGGAGCCTTACTTGGACTTTAAAGTAGCACGTGAAATATATCTAAGGCGTCTTTACTATGGAAACAATAGAGTTTGTGTAGAGCAACTTAGACTCAATAAACATTGTTTTACTGTTTTATGTACAAATTTAAGAGAGCACTGTGGGTTGAGGGATACTAGAAATATTACTGTTGAAGAAGCAGTTGCAATGTTTCTCTATGTTCTTGCTCATAACTTTAAGAATCGCACTGTCAATTTTAATTTCATAAGATCAGGTGAGACAGTTAGTCGATAGTTTAATATAGTTCTATGTGCTATCATAAAATTGGGAAGACACTATCTTATCCAGCCTGAAACGGAAATGGAAGGTTACGAGCATGAAAAGTGGGAATGGTTTCAGGTAATCAATATTTTTTGATATTTGTTAATGAAGATAATATCTACAAGATTCATCAACTTATGATATTTTGTTTATAATACAGGATTGTCTTGGAGCGTTAGACGGTACTTATGTTAAAGTACATGTTTTTCTTAGAGATCAAGGAAGATATAGGAATAGGAAGAATGAGATAGCAACAAATGTTTTAGGTGTATGCTCCCGTGACATGAGATTTACATATGTATTGCCTGGATGGGAAGGTTCTGCAGCAGATAGTAGAGTTCTACGGGATGCGTTAGTTAGATCAGATCCATTAATTGTTCCCAAGGGTATGTGACAATTAGATATCAAGTGTTTTTTTTTCTTTTAACTATAAATGAGTAATAATTTGTTGTCTAACATTACAGGCAAGTACTTTCTTGTTGATGCGGGTTATGCAAATAGCTCCGGTTTCTTAGCTCCATATAGGGGAGTTAGATATCATCTTAGCGAGTGGTCTGCTAGTGGGAGCAAGCCTTAAAATTTTAAAGAGTTATTCAACCTTCGACATTCAATTGCTTGAAATGTGATTGAAAGGACATTTGGTTTGTTCAAGAAGCGGTGGGCCATTTTGAGAGATGCATCTTTTTTTGATGTTAAGACTCATGTCATGATAATTAATGCATGTGCCATCCTTCATAATCTTATTCGAGTAGAACAACCAAATGACCCTTACTTGGATGAAGTTGATGCTGAGATGCGAAGAGTACAACATGAGGTTGATGATGAAGATGAAATGGAAGATGAAGATGAGGAAAATGGAATGGAAGATGATGGTCCAAATAATGATGGTGGTGTAAATGCTGTTAACGAGAATCGAATTCGAATAGTACAACCAACTAGCGAGTGGACACAATTTAGGAATGCTTTAGCACGAGCAATGTTTATTGACTATCAAATTAGACAAGGCCATCATGGAAGTTGAAATTTGATAGGAATTTATTCAAACTTAATTTAATATTAGAATGGCCATTTATTGAAAAATAGTAGCAATGTATAACTGTGCTTTTCTTTCTCTTTTTTTTTTTTTTGGCTAAAAACACTTTGTTTGCGTATTCATCTATTGAAATTTCTTGTAAGATACAAAACTCAAATATTTATAATAGATACAAGTTATGACTTTCCTCCCAATTCATATCATAGAGTAGGCTTTTGATTTTCTAAAATTTAAAGTTCTTAACTTTAAAAAAGTATCAAGGTTTTAACTCGATAAATATTAACTACTTTTTAAGTTAGAATATACAAATATTTTTTATTTAATATAATTTAATTTAAAAAAAGAATTTTTTTATTTTTGCAAAAAAGGAACTAATTTTTTTTTCTTTTAAAGCTTTATTAACAATTAGTTAAATGCAAGAAAAAATAAATTATTAAAGGTACTAATTGGTTTTTTCCTTAAAGCTTTAGTAACAATTAGCTAAATGTTAAAAAATTATTATATAGTAAAAAAAAGAAATTTTTTATGTAAGGAAATATTAGTTGGAAACAATTCTAATTTTTAATGAATTCTTCTCCCATCCAAACAAAGAATTTGAAATTTCAAATGAATTATGTATCAATTCTATGCATTACCCAAACAAAAGAATTCAAATGTTTTGGAATTCCAATTCATAGAATTCTAATTCTATAGAATTCCAATTCCAATGCAATTCCAATTCTGTAGAACCAAACGCACCCTAAAGATTTTTACTTACGTATTCCTTTAAGTGATAAATTCTAAATTTAGAAAAAAAATGATGTTGTGGTTAAATCAACCTATAAATTACTCGTTATGTTAGAAACCCATATTTCATCATAATATTTATTTTTTTTGCTGTATAAAGGTCCATAGCAAAAGGTTGAACTTTAAAAATTGATTAACGTTTAAAGTACTAATATAGCCCTTTAAATCTCTACACAATTATTTTCTTTATTGTTTCTATAGTCATAAATTGATGAAAAAACATATTCTCCAAAATCCAGATTAATACATTATTATAAAATACCATTGTGGTCAACATGAAAGTTACATCTCTATAATTTTGGCCTTAGCTTTCTAGTTTTGCTAAACCTTATTAGTTATTATTCCCTTCATGCTAAAATTCATTAATTTAATATCCTAAATTAAAGTCCATTGGTTTGCTTTTTTTTTTTTTTGTGCAAATTCATAGCTATCTCAAGTTATCTTAAAAATCTCTGAAGTGTTTTGTACTAAGTTTGGTACAAATTAATCTTTCTTCCACTCTAATGTAGCATATAGGAGATCTATAGTGTTTTTATATAACACATACATACAACCAATACCTAATATTACTAGTATAATAACTATTATTATGTAAATTCATAGAAACAAATCTTGTATTTTTGGTATTCCATCATTTTCTTCAATTTGCCATTTTTACAATTTAGGCACAAAACTAGTTTTTATATCATTCCACCAACCTGTTGGTAGGTTAAATATATGGCAAATTAGGCATACAGTAATGGGAAGTTCAAATTGCAAATTTGGATACAACTTTTCACTAATTCGTAATAAGGGAATTAGACACTATTTATGTACTAGTGGTGAAGGCACACTCATGTGTGTGCAATTTAAGAATAAATTAAATTTTATGAAATTTTCTTCAATGAATTGATAGTTATTTTGGTAGTTATGTTAATTTGGTAGTTATCTTGGTAATTAAGGGTTAACGGATAAAGTTAACACCAAGTTAACTAAGGGCTAATGGATAAGGTTAATACCGAGTTAACACAAAGTTAACTCCACAAATGCGATTAATACAAGTGGGACCCATAAGTGCCACATTATTTGAGGTCCACTTACAAAAGTCATTGCATTACTGGAAAAGGGGCGCGCTGATATTACAACAACTAACATGGCATTACTTAATTAGATACAAGTAAGCCCATTGATGATTGGTTGCTGACGTAGCAAACATATATAGGAGATGAAATTAATCGCATTCACATCAATGTTTTCAGAACTGGACCGGACCGGCCGGTCCGACAGCGAACCGGTAACATCAACGGTCCGGTCCAGCATCACACTCGAAAACTAATGGAAAACCGCTAGGAACCGGACGAACCGTTAAAAACCGTTTAAACCGTAAACCGGTGGTTCATAAATTTTCAAGCAATAGACCTGAAATTGAAAACAATAACAAGAATAGAGGCAGCAAAGATTCGAACTCGGGCCTTCATGATCACAATAGGTATGCTTACCACCAATCTACAACCGAGGGACAAGTTTTTTTTTTTGTGTGTAGAATTTTACTTAATCTAATCAAAATATAAAATTAGATTAAATAAAAAAAAACCCTAGCATTGGCTTCAGACAGCACCATTCCTTCAATTCACTTTCTTTCTCAGCCGCACAGATGGCACCATTTCTCATTTTCTCCTTGGCTTCACTTCACTTTCTCAGTTCCTCCATTCCTTCAATCTCCAGTTAATCTTATTTTTTTTTTCATCATCCTTCCACATCCAAATATCCACGACAAGATCAGCACACTATTATTTTTAGACGGGACTCCAAAGCTTTGCATCTTGGTAAGTTTAATTTTTGCCTTTTCTTGATTTTTGTTTTCTATATTATCTTTAGTGAATTTTTTCGTATTTTCTTCTTTTTTTCCCCCAAATTTTCATCCATTTATGAATCATAAATTATTTGGCAATCATGTTTGGAGAAGTTATTTTTTGGATGAAGTATCAAATTAATAAAATTAGTCATGTTTGGTTTTTTAATTTTGTATTTTTCTGGAATTAATATTTGGAATGCCCTTTTTTGTTCCATTGATATTGTTTGTGACAATAACCGTATGCAACTAATTTATGATTTATGATTATAGTATGCAACCGTATGCCCTTTTTTTATTCAACTAATTTCTGCTCAAATGTTCAAAGTTCATACGGCTTTTTTTATTTAATCAATATTATTTCAATTTGAAGTTTGTCTAATTAAAGGAGCGCAGGGATTTCTTCTGTCTGTAGGACCTCTGGGTTTGACAATCACAAGGACTTTGATAGTACTTTGTTATTGTGCCGCCTTAATGTATTTGTTCATTTTTTCAACATGTTTGTCTTTTGTGGAGATATGCAATATACTTCAGTTATAGGAGATTTTTTTTATTTTTTTTTAGATTTCATCTCGTATATTTTTATGGCTTGATCATTGGTGTTATGACTGGGTATATTTTTATGGCTTGTTCAATTTACCTAGACAATAACACACACATATATATTCTTTAAATCTATCCGGGCTACAAAAAATTAAAAAATAAATTGCTTTTTATTTGTTAAAAGCAACTAGGATCATAAGAAATTATATCTCTTTCATTCAAAGCTCAGGAGATTTATTTGGTGCTATATTCTATAAAGTTTGGCAGCTTTAGCTTATTTAATTACTGTTGATTATTAATACTCTAAAAGTAAGAAGTGTTGGATTGTTTACACTAGTGGTAAAACTATTTATTCACTTCCTAACCTAAAATTTTCTTTTGATATATTGCCATTAGCACAAAGAAATTAGTTGAATGGTCACAGAAATTGGCTGGGTACTTAATTGTCTCACTATTAGTATATATCCTTCTTGTTATTTCTTTGGGTCAACTAAGGCCTAGTTTTTTATGAAAACAAAAAACAAGATTGCTGCATTTGAATTTTTCAATTTTGTGCTACTGAGAACCATTAATATCCCTCTTGTTGCTTTCATTTGTGTTGCATTGTAATGAGTTGACTTTTTCATTGTAACACTTTTACGCCTAACTTTTTTTTTTCCTTTTCGCATAGACATAGTTTAACACTGACTTTTCTCTTTTCCTTTTCTTAGTTGAGCTATTCATGTGACTAATTGATCTTCTTATATTACTGAAAATTTGTTAATTTTATTTGCTTATTAGTACACTATATTTTACAAATGAACTAATTATATCTAAATTAACTATGTGAAGGATAATGGATACCGGTACTGGTACTGGTAGTAATTCACAATCTTCAACTGCTGGAGCTGTCAATAGTGAACAATCAGCTAGTCAAAATCATAGACAAAAGTCCGATATAGCATGGAATTATTGTTCAGAAGGTTTGAATAAGCAAGGAAGAAGAACTTTGACATGTGGGTTTTGTTTTAAAGTAATTGCTGGTGGTGGCATTCATCGAATGAAACAACATTTGGCAGGAGAACAAGGCAGCATTGTTCCATGTTCAAGGGTTGAACCGGCAGTTAGACACGCTATTTTAGCATCTATGAAGGAGAAGGAGTAGAAATCTAAAGAAAAAGAGGGTGATTTTGGGGTGGAAAATCCATTCGGCCACACTACTCATGCATTTGATGGTGATGAAGTTTTGGAGATTCCTTCTTCTTTAGCAAATGAGATGGGTTCATCTAGTAAAGGAAAGAGAAAGGTCACTACATCAACAGGTATACGTGCTTTTTTTAAAGGTGGGCGTGATACTTCTCAACCAACCATTAAAGCTTGTTTGCAAAGTAAGGAAAAATGGGAAAATACGGACATGGCTATTGCTCTTTGGTTTTATGATGCTTGCATTCCTATAAATGCTGTTAACTCTCCATTTTTTCAAAAAGCTATTGATCAAATAGCATCAATGGGTCATGGTTACAAAGGTCCATCCTATCATTCTTTGAGGGTTAACTTGTTGCGAAATGCCAAGAGAGATGTGAAATTAGTTGTTGATTCTTTTAGAAGTACTTGGGCAGAAATTGGTTGCACTATAATGGGTGATGGATGGAAAGACACTAGGCAAAGATCATTGATTAATTTTTTGGTTTATTGTCCTAAGGGTATTTCTTTCATTAAATCTGTGGATGCATCTGATATTGTAACAAGTGCAGAAAATTTGTGTAATTTATTTGCTGAAATTGTTGAGATGGTTGGTTCAAATAATGTGGTGCACTTAGTTACTGATAATGCTAGCAATTATAAAGCTGCTGGGTCTTTGTTAAGTGAAAGATATCCGAACATTTGTTGGTCACCGTGTCCTGCACACTGCATCAATTTGATTTTGAAAGACATTGGTGAAATGTATGATATAAAAGCTTTGGTGTCTCTTGCTTCAACGGTGACTGTTTTTATCTACAATCATAAGTTCACTTTGAATTGGTTAAGAAAGACTGCAGGGTGGAAAGAAATTATTCGTCCCAGTGACACTCGATTTGCAACTACCTTTATTGCATTAAAAAGTTTGCATGATCATAAGGATAGTTTGCAATCTTTGGTTACTAGTGGGGATTACAAAAAATTTCTGAGAATAGAAAAAGGAAAAGATGTGAAGCAAATCGTTTTGGATGAAAGGTTTTGGAATAACTGTTTGATTATGGTGAGAATAATGGGCCCTATCATTCGTTTATTGCGTATTTGTGACACTGATGAAAGGCCTTCATTGGGTTATGTTTATGAAGGCATGTTTAGAGCAATAAATGGCATCTGTTGACCTTGGTCGATCAATCCTTGGTTTTGATGATTAACAAACCAAAATGTAGATTTGGGCTAATATTTTTATGTGAGTAATTTGTTAGAACAGATTCTTGTGGCATAAAAGAAGAAGCAAAAACAGGGCACTCATGTGGGACGTCCGAAAGGAAGCTATCGGACGTCCGAAAGGATGGAGAACATCAAGAAGAAAACTCTGTCGGACGCACATCGATCGCATCGGACATCCGAGAAATTTCGCAAAGATTTGATGACTCTCTGACGACGGTCGGACGCAGGGTTCGGACGTCCGACAGGTGGTTTGGACACAGGGTTCGGACGATCGACAGGTGGTTCGGACGTCCGACAGGCCAACAGCTAGTTTTGACAGCATTTAATATTTGACCGTTGGAGAGTCTTTTGGAGCCATTTCTCACCTTCTATAAACACCCAAAAGCACAAGAAGACAAGGGACTTTTGCCAACACAAAATACAAGTTTACAAGTGAGATTTTTGAGTAGAAAGATTCTTTGTTGGTTGTATAAGGGGTTGGGAAAGTTGGGTTGTGAGGTTGCTCAAGTGAAGGTTACTCTCTAGGAGGAGTAAAACCTTGGTGAAGGAGAACCTATCACTTGGAGTGGTAAAACCTTGGTGAAGGTTGCCTCATTTGTATAAAATAGTTCTTAATTGGGTGAGTGATCTTTCAAGTGTAGGTTGTTGAGGGTTAACTAGTATTGTTGTAAAACTCCTTGACTCAACCAAAGAGTGTTTGGGGCGAGGAAGGAGTGAGCCTTCACTTGTACATCTTGGTTAGCATCGCCATCTATTGAAGAAGCTATTGGATTCATATTTGGTTTGCATTTCTTATCTTTTCTCTTTAATTAAGTTTTCTTTATTGTGCTTAAATTTGATATATCTTTGTGCATCATTGTGATATTGTTTGTACTCATTGGGTTGCACCGGGCACTTACAGCATCAAAAAGCTGTTTAGAAATAAAGAGAGATTGTACAAGCCTTATATTGACATCATGAATGATAGGTGGGATAGAATGTTGAGAAAAAATCTACATGCTGCCGCTTATTATTTGAATCCTGCCTTTTAATATAAGAGTGCCACATTTTGTAACATCCAGAGGTTATAAATGGCTTGCTTGATTACATTGAAACAAAAGTGGATTGGTGCAACACTGAAAAATTATCGCAAGAGGTTGGAATGTATCGGGAAAGGCAAGGGAGTTTTGGGCGCAAACTTGCTATTCTTACTAGCAAATCTGATCGGCCAGGTTATTTCTATTTTTTTAATATCAAAAATTGTGAATTTATTCTTTATTTGATCTAATATTTTAATATGATTGTGACAGAAAATTGGTGGAAGTTATATGGTTGTGATGCTCCGAATTTGCAAAAGCTTGCAATTAGAATTTTGAGTCAAACAGCTTCTTCTTCTGGGTGTGAACGTAATTGGAGCGTTTTTGAACGCATTCACACTAAAAAAAGGAATAGGTTGGAGCACCAAAGACTTAATGATCTTGTGTATGTGCACTACAATTTGCGTTTGCAACATAGGTATAATTGATTTTTTACTTTATTCTTTACATTTTATTTTTTAAAGTAATATTAAATTTGTAACTAATGTATTTTATTGTAGGTTTGATCACCGAAAGAAATCTTATGATTCCATTGATTATGAATCTATTGATAAAACGGAATTTTGGGTCATAGAAGAAGAACAAGATGGCGAGCTTAATTGTGATGAATTGGAGGAAGAACTTGAAGAACTTCCTAAAGATGATTCTCAGCTAGTTGAAGGTTGGTTTTAATATTAAAATAAATATATTTTTAACTTGTAATATGAGGTGCTAAAAGTGCATTTTTTAATTTGAATTTTATTATAAATATGGATAAGTCCTTAATTGTTACTTTATTTATTTATTTAGATGATGAAAGTGAAGTTGGGGAAGATAATGATATTGACTTGGAAGCATTTCAGCGTAGGCGCCTTTTGGATGGTGATGAAGATAATGATTGGTAATATAACATATTAATTAGTGATGTTTAGTAGCAATTGATTTTTTTTTGTGTTTGGTTGTATCTTTGTTTTTCGAAATTTTTTGGCTTTTTTTTTTTTAGTTTCACCAATTAGATTTATATTTTTTGTAATAAACTTTTTAACTTTTTCAAGTTAAATTGATGAAATTGTGAAGGGGGTGCTCATGCCTTGTCATGCCAATGATGGACATTTGTTATTCAAATTGTATGCCTTGAATATAAGTTGAACTCTTTTATGGACTTTTTTGGAATTGTGAAAGAATGTCAACATTTATTTTAGTTATTTGTGTGTTTTTGTTTGTGATAATTGGTGAATATTTGGGCTATATCTATTTGTGTTTGTAATGAATTTATGAAAACTTGCGGTGAATTATGATATTTTAGTTATATTTATCATTCCAGGTTTCATGTATAATTTTTAGAAAATTTATTATTATCTCAACTTAAATTTAGTTTTAAGTTATATTGATGAATGTATTTTAGGGACTTAAGTTATTAATAACCATGTTATAATGTACATTAACCGTCAAGTTCCAATGTAGACTGTACAGTGAAGACCTATAAAGTATTTAGCATTAAAGCTGCAAAAAAAAAAAAAAAGCAGAGAACCGTTGAACCGGCCGGTCCGACCGGTCGGACCGTGAACCACCCCCCTCTCCGGTTCACTGGCCGGTCCGAGTTTAAAAACATTGATTCACATTAATTGACCCTTGTCAATATGCCAAATTACTCACTAACCTTTTGTTTAAGAACTATATTATACTCAACTAGATTGTTCTTTAATTTTTCTTTACATTGGTTAAATACATAAACATTATGTGAATCTTAACAACTTAAAAATGGAGAGTTTGCAAAATGAATAGTGATTTTTGTCTCTTTTTGATGTAGTAACATGGTTGTTTCATTTGTAATTTGAGGGTCATTTAGTCATTTTTGGTCGTTGCTGATTATGATGGCATATGCATAAGTTATGTTACACAGCCTATATTTGTTAAGTGTTTGTCAGGTAGACTTTGTTTTGCCATTATAGCCTTTGCATTCCATTTTTACCCATGCGTGCTGATGCAGGAGAGGATGCCAGCAATGAATTTTTTGTTTTTTCACTATACTTGATTTATATACATTGTGTGAGTTAAAAGCAATGGATGTAAAGAGAATTCGGCCATCTTTATCTCTTTTTCCTTCTTTCTTTGAACTTAAAATCTTAAAAAAAGGAAGTTTGGAGAATAAATAGTGAATTTTTTTTGCTTTATTACATGGGTAATCCGGTCACACATTTTGATATGAACCCACCACGAATGGCATGAACTGGTATCCCACACAATCCCGGATCTAGACGAAGAATCAAGTTAGAGTTGCGGAAACTCTTGACCCTTCTAACCCGCGAAGTTGTGAACTTTAAATTTAATCTCAACCCACAACTTAACAAGATAGTGAACCAAGGTGTGATTATTGGTTGATAAGTTGATGAACGCTCAAGTAAGATCTCTTAGACAAGAGAGTTACAAAGACACACAAGTGTTTGTTGGAAAATTCACTCTTATTAATGTATGAAAAATGGCATGGACTAAGGCTATATTTATATCCTTTACATGACTCAAGAAACCTACTCAAACTTGGAAACAATTTACTTACTTTCCTAAAATCTAATTCGACTAGAATAGGAAACTGATTAAGTCAAATTGGCTTAACTATGGTCAATATGATCTTATCCTTTATTTCCTTTATTAACAACTCAAAAATAACTCAAAACCAACTATAATGAACTAACAATTATTGCTGGAAACTTAAATGAAACAAACGACACAAAAAGCTAAGCATAACACAATTTCGGATCAAACTAAAACTCTTGAGCTCGATCACTTGTTCCACTTGAAACACCTTGAAACTCATTGGAGCTTGACGTAATTAAAACTTGTTGAGGTATGATCTACCTTGAAACTAAGAAAACTCAATCTACTTGGAATTGAAAGGGAAACCGGATCAACTTTGTTTGCATCACATTTCATATCTGCCAAGTGTTGTAAGGTGAACTTTATTTTACTATTTACAAATCAAGTACACTTCTAATAGGTTTTTTTTCCGTCTTTCTATTGTACTTGATTTGTACCATCGTGTGGATTCAAGCGGCGAACACAAAGAGAATTCGATCATCTTCATCTCCTTTTCCTTCTTTTATTGGTCTTAATAACTTAAAAAAAGGAGAGTTTGAGGATGATAACTGAATAGTAATTTTGTGCCCTTTATTACATGGGTAATCTAATCATTTGGCTCTCTAATTGGTGGGTAGTTTGATCATTTTAGCTAGTTGCTAATTGTGGTAGCACATGGAGGGTTGAAAGACAAATCAAGAGGTATTGCTCGAGTTCGAGCGAGTAGTAGAAATGGAATTCAAACTCAAATTCGAAAAACTGTTGAAAAACTCGAGATCGACTCGATTATATTCGATTTTCTTGTGAGTATGATTGAGCTCGAGTACTTGACTTGAGTTCAAGATCCTTGTCCACTTCTAGAATTGCAAAATATAACTCTTCATATAAAATAGATTGATGCAAGCCCAATTTCTTGATTTAGAACAGGCTATTAGCAATTGAAACAAGTTGGAACATTTGCAATTAGTCACAAGAAAGGTCCATATCCTATTATGCAAAAATGGAAATTGGGAAGAAAAAAAAGCAACAATTGTAGAAAGTAGAAGTTATAAATTGAGCCTGTCTGATTAGTGATCACTAATGATTACATTAACATTTAATAGCCAAGTAGCTAGCATCAAAATAATAGCCCAAAACAAGAGTAATTTACTACTGCAATAGCCTACAACTTGCAAGTCTTACACAAAACAATATCTTAGCACCAAGCTAGCACCAAAACAGTTTCAAGAACGCAAGTGGCAATAAACCGCACAAAACAAGAGTAATTTACTACTACAGCAACCTACAACTTGCAAGTCTACACAAGACAATATCTTAGCTCCAAAACAACTTCATAGATGAAGTAGCAAATGAGCAAAAACAAAGGTAGTAGCAAGAAATGCCCCCATAAATTAGCCATCCAATATAGCCATCCAACCACGGTCAACTCCTACCACCAAGACATTTAAATATTCTTTCAATTGAAGGCACACATTAAAACAAAATTGAATGACTAAACAAAGAGAAATTTAGAAATGATAGACTTGAATCACCTAACTACACCCAAAGCTGGATATCAAACTTGTGGCATAACTAAAACATTAAGCTGCATAACTATAGAGAAATAGAGAATTACGACTTACCTACTAGTCCTGTTCTTGCGATGGATGCCGAACTAGTTATCGAAGTGTCACGTGGCTCATGTTTTTTTCCATTTCCGTTGAGCTGTCAAATGATTCAAACCCCCATTTTCAGCCTCTACAAATAATGAAATAAAAGCCCCAATTTTAGAACTTAGAGTTTGAAGAAATTTTCAGAAAATGTTTGAAGAGATGCAAATGATAGCAAATAATTAGCTCAATACCTTTTTCCAGTTGACGACTAAAGCTGAAGAGAGAAAATGTAGCAATGGTTGATAGCAGATGGAAAGAAATGAAGTCAACCCTCTCAACAAATACAACAATAGCAATGGCCACTAGATTGATGCATTTGTACCGGTATGGACCGTGTGGTAAGATGCACTCGTACAGATGAGTGGTAGCAAGCAAAAATCGAGCTTCTAATCTCATCGAAAACCCAGACTCTCGGAAGTTCAGACAAGGAGGAGGAGAGTAGCTCAGTAGTACTTGGAAGAAATTAGGGGTCGATTGAGGAGGAAAGAGGAATTAGGAAAAGCCAATTTTTTTTTTACCTCTCAAATTATTTTTTTCCTTGCGAAATTACTATATGACCTATAAATATTTTAAAGTTATAGCCAACATTTTGATAATTTAGACAAGTCCCAAACCTAAAAGAGTAAAATTGTAATAATAAATATATCATTTTTAATTAATTAATTTGTACTCGATAAGGCTCAACGAGCCACTGACCTTGACAAATCAATATTCGAACTCGGCTTGAATTATTAATGAGCTACTCGAGCTTGACTTGCACTCGATCAAAACCAAGTGCGAGTCAAGCTTTTGACCGAGCTACTCGCGAAGAGCTTGATTCGATTACATCCTTAAGGTTGTTGAGCTTGGTTCATGAACTATTCAAACCAAGGTTGAATAGCATTTCATATTCGGCAAACTTCTAAGCTTGACTAGAACTTGGCTTGATTAGCATAGAACTTGAATTTATAGCGAAAACGTTCAAACTACTCAAGTTCGACACAATAAAAATTCATTTGAGATTAGCTCAAAAATAAACAAGGCAAGTTTGAATACAATCTCAAGTTCATTAAAATAATAAGACAAATTGAACAATTGGGTATTTGGTTTGATTAGACTTGTTTATACCCCTAAACGCATGGATAAGTTGGCTACATACTCTATATTTGTTAAGTATATACCAGGTGGACTTGTTTTACCATTGTTGCCTATCTATTCTTTTTTTTCTCTCGTGTGTTAACTTAGGAGAAGGTGCTAGTCATGTGTATCATGTCTTTTGATTGTACTTTATTTTACATAATGTGCAGGATTAAGCAATGGATGCAGAAAGAATTCGGTCATCTTAATTTCGTTGTATTGCTGCCGGTACTATTGCTTAATTAAAGAAGCTTAACCGATCAGGCTTGTAATGGCATTAACACATTATACTCATTTAGTATAGTCATCCAATTAGGTTTTATCATTTTTTGACTTTTCTTAATCAATATTTATCAATTTTTTTTATTGTCAATTGCTCAAATCTAGGAGCTTCTCTGAATTTCTCCTTTCTCTGCATTTTAATCATTTGATCTAATCTTTACATTTGTATTTTCTTTCAATGATTATAAATACTCTGTGTAAGCACAAATTTTGTTGCCTAAAATAAAAGACAAGAAAACTTGCACAAATATCAAATTGATTAAATCAAATAATAAGCGGGTTACAATCTCTAAAAGTTCTTGAATCAAAGAAATTAATCCCCCGATTCTTTTCTTCGAATAGCTTCAATTGAAGGGCCGAAAAGACTTGTTCTCCAATCGAAAGGGTGTTTCCTACGATTTTGGCGTAGAAAACGATTGATTTGATGACGGCGTCAAACACTTAGAATTTCAAGTCTTCAACACCGATAGCCGGAGGATTTGTTTGACTTGATTTGGACTTGGATTTGAGAAGGAAAGCTCTTGAAAAAGTTTGCCAGAGTTTCTCCGAAAGTTAAGGATTTTTCTCGTGTCTTTGCCTTGAGGAAAGACCTTTATTTATAGCCAAAATATGTAGGCTAAGTCTTCAAGAAAACCCTCAGAATCTTCCTGCATTTTGGATCACTTGTTACTCAAGAAATCCATTTAACTTGGGCTTAAATAATGGGTCAACCCAAATAGTCCATTGTGAATTAATAAATCAATTAATTCACTTCAACTTAAATGGGCATTACAAATTTAATTTGATTTAATAGCCCATATAATACTGGCCCAATTTGCAAGTTCAAAACATAATGAACTTTTATCATTTAACTTAATTTAATCAAGATCAATTTAATTTAAATAAATCTTGACTAAATAAATTAAATAAATTTTCTTTGTCTACACTCTGATATTTATTGTGAAATTGATGAATTTTTATTTTGTTTTGATTTCAAAGTCTAGTAATTGAATCGATGGCATATAGTTGCGATTGTGAGAACAAAAGAGGCTTGTTCTCTTCCTAGAGTTCAATTTTGATCTAAATCTTACGTAGAAGTGTCAATCACAAACCAATTATGTTGACTCATCCAAATCCACCCACCAATAATCCGCCCAAATCCATTCATTAATTTTGATGCGTGATACCCAATTAAATTCATTTAATTGACGGATAATGGGTTGATTCGACTCACCTATTTATACTCATTAAAAATGATTATATATTTAAACTCAACTTTTAGTGAGTGTTAAGCAAATAAATTTAAATTTCTTATCAATCTAATAAGAATAAAATATTATTATTTCTTGTCAAACAACATGCAAAAAATAGAAAAAAAATAAATAGAATCTTAAGTGACTCATAAATGGATAATTGGATATATCCATACTCATTTATTAAATGAGTATAAATAGGTACCCATTTATATCTATTTATTTAAATGAGTATAAATGGATTAACTCAATTATTTCCATTACCCATTAACCATTATGACTGCCCACACTTGTTCGAATCACCCATTTTGATACCTTTAAAATGAATATAGCTAGAATCCATTACTTGAACGAGAGTGGCAATAAGGGTGGCTTATCTATCAACTTTTAAAAATCCCTCTCCATTTCAATTATAACAACAATTATGAGTGTCTTCTAATGAACCAAACATTAAATTTTGAAACATCAGCTAATCATTGTAGAAGGATCTCCAACTGGTAGAAAAAAACCCACAACCCCTTGGGGAGGAATTGTCCATATGTAAAATCATAATTATTGATATTCACGCCTTAGGTTTGTTTTTTCTTTTAGTAGTTTATAGGATAAATTGATAAGTTGGGCATTTCTAGCCCATTGCATTGGAAAAGACTCTACTATAACTATGCTTAACTTGAAGAAGGTGCAACCACAAACTTCTTTGAAAGTTTTAGCATGGTTTGAGAACTCCTTTCATTGCTTGAATGAAAGCCTCCCAAGTCTCGAGAAGTCTATCTATCAAGCTTCAATGAGAAGTTGAGAAGTTGAGAGCTTCCCAAACCTTAAGAAATCTATCTATCAAGCTTCAATGAGAGTCTTCCAAGACTTAAGAAGTTGAAGAAGTATAACCAAGAAGTTGAAGAAGATGCAATCACAAATTTTCATGGGAGCCTTAGCATGGCTTGAGAAGTCCTCTCATTAGCTTCAATGAGAACTTACCAAAGTTTGAGAAATCCATTGAAAGAGGCATAAAGGCATAACCACCTATTTTAATGGGAGCTTCCCAAAACTCGAGAAATTTATTGAAGAAGGCACAACCACTTATTTTAGTGAAAGCTTACCAAAATTAGAGAAGTCCTTTTACTTAGAGAGTTTACGAGAAATCCATTAAAAAAGATGCAACTATCCACTTCAACGAGAGCTTACCAAATCTCGAGATATCCATTGAAAAAGGCACAATCACCCAATTCAATGAGAGCTTATCAAAGATCGAGATATCCATTCATCTAGTTTCACATTGATGATTTATTACCCCTCTCAAGTACATCATGATTTAAGAATTAGCTCTTTTTTTTTTTTTTTGGAGGTCCCAAGTCTTATTGCTTATGTTGATGGGACATCAAAGTAGTTGGTTTAGTAGACTTAGCTGCAAGATCTGCACTATCACCAATGTAACGGATGAATTTTGGGTTCTTAAAGAGAGAAAAAATTAGTTAAAGATCTTAATATGTCTTCCGCATTGAAGTGGAAGTTATAGCAAAGGTGAAAGTCGTCCTTGTCAAAAGTTTTTGTGCTAATCAATTCTCTTTTGGTTAGATAACACAGGTGGCTAATCCTACATGAACAATTTTAGACAGCAAAAATATCACACATTCTTTTCTTAAGGGAAAAAAATAAGCAAATTTTCTGGTGCAAATATGTGATGTAGGACCGAATAGACATCTCATATTAGTATAAGTCATTCTTACTTTCTTGTTAATTAGATGATGGTGTTATAACCAACCATTTTATCAACAAGAGTGTTTTTTTTTTTCAGTTAGAAAACCTCCAATAGGTTCAAATAACTTGATGAAACTTGTTTCTTACACCCAAATTCGTTCATTAATCTATCCAAAGTTGATATCAAGGCTTCCAAAACTTGTACCTTGCTTTGTATTCTGTTACTCTAGAATCTTGTTTAAGCAAAACTGAAAGAAACAAAAATAAAGAGCTCTTTATTACCGTAAAAAAATGTAATGCAAATACCTTCACTACAGCAGATTTGTGCCACATAAATTGTATTATCATATACTAGTATTTAGTCCGTATATTAGCACGGAATTATTTTTATTATGATTACTTATGAATCACGAGTAATGTTTTTATTCATTATTCCAGTTTACATCAGAAATTTATTATATTTCAAACATATAACTGCCATTTTAGTCTTCATGTAATTAAACTTTCTCAAATGGTTATACACGTAATTATATTCAGTTCAATTCAAGACAAAACAAAAATATACCAATCTATTTCTACATGAATCATTAATTATTTCTATCAAAGTTAACAAATTCACCAATGCAATAATTAAATTTGCACTAAACAAAGGTACCATATATGATACAAAATAATAATTTAAATTTATTAAATGATATAGAAATTGTTAAAAGAGATAAAGAAATTATAAGTAAAATGGATTGGAAGATAGTTAGATGCAAAAAGGGTTAAAACTCAAGTACCTATCGACCCATTAATTCTGTTCAATTAAGCATGCCGCTCCAACAGAGAAAATAATTAATTACAATAAGAGTTTACACACACATGCGTGTGTGTGTGTGCTGAGCTCTTATCTGGATTCTTTTTATTCTCTTGATTCTTGCTCACGTTTGATGATGAACATTATCACGTTTGGTTCTTTCAAAGATGGATCTATGAAAATTTACATGTCCACGAACCTGATTTGAGTTATACTGTATTAACTACTAACTGACTGAAGGTGTGAACTAGAAAATTATGATAATTATAGAGAGCTCATGGAGTAATGATCTTTTATACATTTTTCCACAAGTGACCTAGGTACTGTTGTGCCTGCCAAAAAGAGAAAAAAAAAAAAAAAAAACCTACGTCCTATTGCATGTAACGTATGCTTAGTGGCTACTAGAAACACGAACCATTATCCATTGGCAGATTTTTGCAACTTATTTACTGGTGTTTTTTTTTTTTTTAATTGCCAAGGTCTTCAATACACCGTCCGTCTACATGACTCGCAAGAAACTGTTTCCAAAAGGAAAAAAAAAAAAAGGAAAAGCAAGGAAAAGGCCTAAGGTAATACAAGATAGAAAAAAAAAAAAAAAGATAGAAAGTATCACTCTTCCAACTTATAAAAAAAAAAAAGCCACCCATGACTAAATAACAGTTAAGAGTTTGATTTAGAAGGGGAAGGATAGGTTAAACGATACGGTAGAGAGAATTTAAGTAAGAAATTCCAAAGTCAAAACCTACTGCTTATATTATAAAAAAATAACTAAAAAAAAAAAAAAGAGAATGATTTAGAAGATATCAAGGATTTGATTGATCGGATGGTTGCAAAGTGGACACGGCACACGTTTGAGCCACAGCGCTCTCGAGCACTCTCTACAGTAGGTGTGCCCGCAGGGAATAAAAGCTGCACCTCTATTCCTCACCATGCACACGCAACACAAGTTATCATTCCCTCCTCTATACCACTTGCCCTTCTTTGAATCCACGCCGTCAACTTCTTCGAATAATCGCATCAACGGCTTCTTATGTTTTCTGGGACCCACTTTACGCAATTGACGCTCGGCAGCTAATAAAGTGGCCAAACTTATACCCCTGGCCTGTATGTTATGGCCCACAGTAGCCATCATGGGCTGTAGCTCCTCCTCCGTTTCGTGTGACTCATGGGCCTGGGCTGCTTCTTCTTCACAAACTGTACTGTCAGAGACCCTTAGATTGATTGAGGATCCACAACAGGCCATCATTTTGATTCTTAGCCTTTGCATCATAGTCTTCCACAGTCTGTTGGGCCTATATTGACCGTCCATTCGTCCTACTTTTGTGTCTTTGAGATGATTTTGCACTTTTTCCCTATTCCTAGTTGAAGAGTTTGATTTCACATTGGCACTATGTATTTTGGAGACGACAAAAAACTGGGAATGTTTGAGAGAATTAAAATTGAAATTAATGAGAGAATTCAAATGTAGGGTGAAAATAGAGAAGACAGAAAGGCACCAACTTATGATTGTATTTAACGCGAAGACATTATCGTTAAGAGATCAACAAATTGAATATATTAATACCTTGGTGCAGATTTCGTGTTGATGATTGAAAAATCCTCCTTGTGTTTCTTGAGAGGAGATGAATCCTTCTGATCTAGAGTGGATGATTACGTTTGCTGCATATAGGCAATATGAGACTATGGAAAATGGTTTCAAACAAGGGAAATAGAATGGAAGAAGGCGGAGGAGGAAGAGAGACTGCCTATGATGTTTGTACTATTTAAAGGGAGAAATTGAATTCCTCAAGAGAAGAAGAAAAGAGAGCGAAGGTCGTTGAAGAATGGGAATCAAAGTTGTCATGTTGGCTCCTTTTCAAGAAATAAAAGTCTCAATAATTGGCTGGGATCCATTTTTTATTGCTTTTGATTGTTTGTTTGCTACAGCTGACATAAAAAGCCAAAAGGTGTCAAGATTTAGGCTGATTCAGTGCATATGAACTTTTTTGACACACATTCAAATAAAGGAACTGTTAGAATATGTGATACTCTAATAAAAATTGTTCATTATAGAAAAGTTTATCGTATCAGTTTTTTTTTTTTCTGCAGCAAGAAATGATGTAAACATTAAAATCATCAATAACGTTTTCGGGGGTTTTTACCTAAAAAAACGTTTAAAAAATTATTTTCTCTCGTGACCATGTCTCAAGTTTTGGGTTGACTTTGTGTACTTTACGTAATAACTGGTGACCATATAGCCGACAAATATTTTTAAAATCTAATCTATTAATCCGGAGTATAATTTCTTTTTGGGCTGACTTGGTGTACTTTCTTTTTTATGGGAAATCAAGCAGAGGAAAGAACATCTAGGAGTATATTGCAAACAGAATAAAGAAAAGCCAAGGGTGTATTTAGAATATATTGTGGGCTTAGTGGATTATACCTTCTCTCTTCATGCACTTACTAAATTTATTTGTTTATAAAAAAAAAAAAGGAAAAATGGAAAATGATTTAAGGTATTTGAAAATGAATAAAGCAGCAGCAGCCACCAATCAAGCATTAACTTTCAAATTTGTAATATTTTCCCTTCAAACCAAAAGCTTTGATTGCATAAGCTTCAGTTTATTTTGTTGGTATGAACTGGCTTATGACTCATGAATCATGAGATAGGGTATGCAACGCTCAATGATTGAGTACGCGTGATCTTGTTGGACTCTTTGTACTGATGATTTGAATTTCGTCTTCCTCAAACACGTTTTCAAGAAAATCCATTGCAAAGTAAAAGATTACATTTCATCAGCATGCTAGTGGAAAAATCTGTCTTGTACTCTTATGCACTGGCAAAAAATATGTTATTAGCTCCGATTTTTTTTTTTTTTTTTTTTGAAAAAAAGCCCAATTGGTTGGTGACTTAAAGTCCAAGGAGTGTGTTTGTTTCACTGATTGGATGAGACAGAATTAATCATCTTTGAACAACTCATTCTAGTTTGAGTAATTCTAGAATTAGTAATCTCGTTGTTATCTAGTGTTTAGTTAGTTTTGGATTAAATCAGTTGTCTTAAGAAAAAGTGAGGTCCTATGTTTTGTTGGAAATCAAATGAGATTATTTGTTTGGATAGAGGATTATTTGTCAAAATTTATTTGTTTATATCATCATTACAATTTTCAACACACCTTTTTATTTTTCCAATTATCTTTTTATCTCACATACATCACATCACAAAAAATGCTATGTTTGATTGAAGATCAAATGAGGTGGAATTACCAATTGGAAAAATCGTTCAAAACGTCCCTCACATTTTGCAAAATAACTTTTTTCGTCCCTTACTTTTAAAAATGTAATTTTACGTCCTTTACAAATTCGCATTAATCAAATTTGGTCCCTACTTAGGTTTTCGACTAGTTTTTTGTCGGAATTCACCACGTGCTTTGCACGTGATCATATTTTAAGGACAAAAAATTCATTTTGATAAATGTGAGGGACGAAACAATTCATTTTGTAAAATGTTAGGGACAAAAATTTTATTTTGTGAAATATGAGGGACTATGAATCAAATTATGTAAAAATTTGATTTGATAATTTTGCCCTTAAAAAATGATCACATGCAACTCACGTGGTGGATTTCGGCCAAAAACTAGTCGAAAAACCTAGGTAGAGACTAAATTTGGTCAATGTGAATTTGTAAGGGACGTAAAATTATACTTTTAAAAGTAAGGGACGAAAAAAGTCATCTTGTAAAATGTAAGAGACGTTTTGAACTATTTTCTCTAACTAATTCATAGATAAAAATATCCTCTTTATGAGACCTATAAATAGACCTAAACTTGACTCATAAAAAGATAGGAGCTCTCGGTTTTGGACATGGGCTAACAACTATGAGACTCATGCATGGGTTGCAAAAATATATTAATTAGGATTCCAAATCTAGCATGGGTTTGGACCGAGCTCACAATTAATAACTAAAAATGTATTTAATAGTTAGCTATAAATTATACGTTGTTATAGCGTATAGGTATTGATTAAGCTATACACATACATAACTTACACATTTATATGAATAAATAAATCAATCCCTGTTTTGACAAGACCAAGCCAAAGAAAACTCAAACTAAAACTCATAATTTATTCAAGTCCACATTTAAGCCCAAGTTTTGCCCATTCAAATAGCACATAAAGCCCGGCCCAAAATTTGTGATTTAATGAGCCGAGCTCAAATAACACTGGACTTGAGAGTGTGTGCGTATATATACAGGTGTAGTCTAATATACCCAACTTTTTTATGAAGTGTCACATAACTAACTACTATGGCCCAATTAATTCAAATTTTAATTTTTCTTTTAATAGTGGCAAATTAGTCCAATACGCAGCCATATTATGAACAGGAGCATATTAATAAAAGATCTAGTTATGTTATTAACAGGGGCAAATTAGTACGGACTTTAGTTACGTTATTAATATTGGCAAATTAGTCCAAAACTTAGTTATGTTATTAGTAGTAGCCAAATAGTCTAAAATTTTGTTTTGTTATTAATAAGGACAAATTAATCCAATATTATAGTGAGAGAGTAAGGTTATATAATTGGTACAATATTGCATTATTATTTTAGTAGGGGTAAATAAGTCTAAATATAGTTATTTCACTCCCATTCATCCCTAGATGGCTCATGCCACTTTCTTCAAAAGATTATTTTATCCCCCATATGAGAGGGTAATTTGGCTAGGTAGGAAGTACAATCCCATGCATTAAAAAGCAATCAAACATACAATGACATGGAATTAGTAATCACATCCGTGTCATCCCATGAATCAAACTGTGTTTGAAAAATAAAGTATGCAATGGTTACTAGATGTTCGTACAAATATTATTTCCCCTCCTTTACCATGTGACTTATCTGATAAAATATTCTGCCTCGTACAAGCATATTTTTGAACTTTTTTTTTTTGAAATAACCTCTAATCATGCTAATTTTGTACATTTTTCAACTATTTCAAATCTCATATGTAGTATATCTAAAAAATTGTTTTTTGGGAAAACCACAAAAATAGTCTCTCCACATATTTTTTTAGTTATTTTAGGTGAAAATGAGATAAAAACAGCCTTTTGGGATAAAATGGTGTATTTTTATATGTGCTCCAAACTGATCATTTTAAAAGTAAGTTACTAAAAAGTTACAAAATTTAAAATATAAGGACACAAAATATATCATTTTAAAAGTAAGAGACTAAAAAAGTACAAAACTCAAACATGAGGGATTGTTTTGGCGATTTTCCCTTTTTTTTTTTTTAAAACATTTCTAGTATTCAAACAGTTATGTGGGTTCAAATTAATTGTAACATTTAAAGATAATAAAGGACTTTTACCTTTTGGAGCAAAGGGTAAAAACCACACCGTTCAGCTACAATTATTTGATTAATTAATCCAATAAATGTATTGACTTATCACAAACAATGTTACTCAAACTTTATATATAGAGGTAATTTGACAAAATTGAAGGATAACACATTGCTTAAACGCAAATGAATGACATTGCAAACTTTCGCTGCTTCCTTTACTTCTCTTTATCGCTCAAACTTTGTTCAAACGTTACGTATAGTTGTAGCTAACAAATCACACTACAATTTGTATGCGACGACTGATGGCTTCCCGGACACTGATACCATTATATAGATTCGCCGTCAATCCAAACACGATGAACATATATCATGTCCTTCGCGTAAATGATTTTTTTCACTGGCTAAGGACGTAGGATGTAGGAAATCAGTTGTAGCTTGCTTTTTGTTCTAAATAAAAGTTTGGGGTCGCGTCCTCCTCCTCCTCCCCCTGGCGTCGCGCGTACAGGGCTTGTCATTAAAAAAAATAACAAAAAGAAGTCCAAATAATTGGCATGCGAATGTGATTGTAAAAAATAGTCATTTATTTTATTGTCTTATTATAAACATATAGAATTAATTTTCCCATTGATTTTTTAGATTGAAAAATGGATGAAATTAATTAGAATATAATTGCTTCTAATTTACTAATTATAAAGAACTAAATATAAAGAATACACACACACACAGTTAGAAAATGGAAATTCTAAAACTTATTTAGGATGGATTATTACAAATAGAAGAGATACAAATTAATTTAGAATCACTATATGTAGAAAAGTAAAAGAAGATAATTCAATTAATATTTGATTTTTTTTTTGGGCAAACACAAACTTCAGAAAAGAAAACTAATTTTCTCAAAAATAAGAATTTCCAAAAAAGCTAATTTAAAAAGAGAAAAGAGAGAAGAAAAAAAATAGCAACATAAATTGAGAAATGAGGTATATGCCAAGAGGATAAATTGTAATTTTTTTCGACACGATAAACCTAAACTTATCTATACTAGGGAAGGGGGGAGGCTTGAATAGGTCCAAGAAGAAATCGGAGGGGATTGAATCACCTACCCGCCCAAACAGTGCACTATACACCCGTTTGGAAAGACATTTAAAGTGACAGGCCACATATAGTGGCAAATGGTGATAGGTCCAGACGGCTGAATCCTTGACCTCCAATTCCACCAAATCTTATGGACTATGATGATGGCCAACAACTCAAATGACCAACAACTCATATATAGTGGCAGGCCGTCAAGATAAGTTGTAATTAATCTCTAAATTTTTTACATTTTGCTTTACTACAACATAAATTGAGAACTGAGGTACACGGCATGAAGATAAATTGTTATTAATCCCTAATTTTTTGACAGTTTTCTTTACTTTAGCATAGTTACTGGTCAAAATTAACTTCTCTCTAAATTTCATGCTTTCATTTTCCGCCTTTTTTCAAGGCTCAATCGTCCGTCCGCATGATGGGGATTTTATTTGGTAACACCATTCAAAGCATTGTATGGTAGTTTACTAGTTTTTGTCTATTTCGAGGGGAACCTCATCCGTCAAAATCTTAGACCATGCCTATGATTGTTAGATTATTTGGTTCTTATTGTTGAATTGTTCGTGGTCCAGTGCCGTTAATGTGATTGGCGATATTTCTTGCCGGTCTTCAAGTACAGTAACATGATGCCCACTTGGAAAGCCCTCTGCAATTTCTACAATCATTTGCCTTTTCGGCCTCATATCTGTATTTCTACAAATATTCACTTGCACCTGCAAGAGGCAGCTATACCTGGAAGATCTTTCTCATATGCCATTGGATAAATTCTTCTACAGGATGAGATGGGAATTCCGCTAGTAACCTAGAATTGACAAGGATTCTGATAATAATCCAATGGCAACTAGAAAGAAAAATGTATGTATTTAGCGTATCCAATGATTCACCAGCAGGCTACTCTGCAAAACCTTGTACTCTTCTCCATGGATTGCTCCATCTAGTACATCAAGTCCAACTGCTACTCTGAGGTTGAGCTATTAATATTCTTCCTCAATTTGAAATTATCCTCTGCATCTTCCCCCCCCCCCCCCCCAAAACAAAAAATAAAATAAAATAAAATCTTCATCTTCCCCTCTTTCCGTGTAGCATCCCATCATGTCTCATTGATGATCTCATTGATTACATGAATTGAACCCTCCAAAATCCCCTAGTGAGGCATCGTGCAATCAATTTCATCACCACAGATGCCATATTCCCATCAGTAGACAGATTTAATAGTAGAATCCATGCTGGCACATCACTTTTAGTTCCAATCGGTCCTCCATCCTCTTCCAATCTCAACAAACTGTAGATTAATTCTTCCCCTCCAACGTCAACAACAGTGGTGAATAGCAGTTGATGCAGCCATAAGCCTCAAACATTATTAATGCACCCAATGGAGTCTGACCGTTTCAGACATTTATCCGGCACCTGAGTTGTGTCATGTTGAAACAGGTGCTCTGGGATTGGGAGAACAGTCTGTGTTAACATAGCTGAACAGGGCCTGGGAAGTTTAAAAAAGAAACTTCAGGGACTAACCTGGGACTTGACAAATTGTCTTGAGTTATTATTTTTGCTTTTTGCCTCACCAAGAAATAGAGAAGTGCTAGCTTTGGCCACTAAGAATGACGACTATAAATCTATGGTTAACCACATAATCAGGCCTATGCAATTCATAAACATAGGTCAAAGCGCATAGAAATGTACAAAGTATACCTTTATTAACAGAAGATAACAAGTACCTGTCATATCCATGTTTTACCGTATTTGCAACATCAAATGGCGATAACTGCGCCCCCTTACACTTCTTTGCCAAAGGTACTCAACAGATTCCTTAAAATTCATTTGTAGCCGCTGCTGAACAAGCCTGCAAATTACTAGTAAGGTATGAAATGCTTTCTTGCTGCTTCAAAAGTTGTTGCAAGAGACACAACCACCTCTTACCATCTCACAAGGCATCTCTGGATACCACGTGTTATGGGGCGAATGAATGAAGGGTCACGTTGGGCATAAAGCAAACCAACCTAGGAAAGAAAATAAACCTGTAAACTGAGAGAGAGAGAGAAAGAGACGAGACCATATTTTTGTAGCTGCCTAAATCCTTTGACTAATCAATTTAATCAGCTTCAAATTTGAGATATACCGTCAAACAATGAGAGAATATAAATTGAGGGTTATATTGCAATAGATAAAATTATAATAGCACAACTACCAATTAATTTCCAAATATTAATAAATGCCTAATGAATTCTGAATTGAAGAGGCCTAGATAAATAGTTGAATGGAAGCAAGATAGGTGAACAAATCAATAGGGAAGATAACATGGCAAATGCTCTTTGGTAATGAAAAAATGAACATACCAATAAGCAATCCCACGTTCTTCACAAAGAAGAAATTTATGAAGAAATGAACATTACCCAAAAAAAAAAAAAGATTGAACATCAAATAAGTACCTCTAGCAAGGCAACAGCTGAAGGATCATCCAAGATCTCCAGACTACAGTCAGCTAGATAGTTAACCTGCAGTACATGGCAGCAAAGCAAAAGTGTTGGAAAGTCTAAAGATGAGACAGAAAACTTCTGAGCTAGGGCAATGGTCTTCGATGAATTTCACACTATGAATGTGTGCTTTTGGAAGAAATCCACTGGCATATGTACATGGTAAACATTTAATGAAGGAAATGTCACATCAAACGTCTTCAGTCAAATGCTTACAAATTTCAGGACCAACAAAACATTTATTAAGGGGAGGAAAACACATAGCAAAATTGGAAGGCAATGTTGTTGAGACTGGAAGACAACATTTGTCATAGCAAACTGGGAACATACCAGGTTACTCATACTGATCCAGATTTTTTACTAGTACCAATTCATGCAACAAAATTGGTGAATTCAAGGTTTCTCTTGCTGAATTTCGGTACCAGTGATGCATCAATGGATACTAGTTAAGAAGCTCAAAGGGTAGAAGTCTGTATATGCTTACTTCAGCATATAAGGTGGACCTTCTGCATCAATTTCTGATGCAACTGAATAAAGACCTTTGGGAGAATCCTAGTTGGGCTTTATCCAGGGATCAATGGCTATGTACAAGTCCAAAAATCTTATAGTTAGCCAGAGACCAGAGTCAGAAAACTAAATGCATTCAGTGAGAAGGTTCAACTATGTTCTTTAGTCATGCCATTTAGTGAGAAGGTTCAACTATATTCTTTAGTCATGCCATGTAACTCTCGGGTTTGACTTTTTGACTCTGAATTACAAACACATGCAATTACACAATTGTCCAAAAAATTTATCTTTTTTGGAACGTCAACAAATAGCCAAATTGGAAGATAACATTTGTTTACTTAACAGTAAAGACAACATATGGCTGCATACAATCTTCCACTACAAAGTTGTAATAGAGTACACTTATAGGGGCTAAGGAAGTCAACTACTACAGGTAGAAATTTAGTGAGAATGAATGACACATGGAGTCAAATGATGACCAAGTTCCCGGGAGGCGCCCAGGGTGACTTTACATATTTTACTCTCTTCTAAGTATTCTAGAGATAAAATGCTTATTCTTCGTCTCACCCTTGATTTCAGCTTTTTATCCTAGCAGTACACCTACAAAACTGATCTCATCTTTTACATCTCTTTCAGATTTTTTACATCTTCTACTCAAGAAAATTCTCATTGCTCTTTCGAGGTAACACTCATGCTCCTAAAGAACATAAATTCATCCTACATTTATGTCACTTCAGACACATTACCTGGACATGTGGATATAAAAGGTAAACAGACATTTAGTAACTGGTACCTGATAGGTTAACTGAAGGCCACAAAGTTTGTTTATTTACTCTTTTATCATTTCATAAAACAATTAGTCAAAACATACTCTGATCTCTATTATTGCATTTGGAAATGCTTTACAGAACTGATGCATTTATCTGATTCAATACATTACTCTCTGAACAAAAGCAATGCCCTGCTAGAAACAGCATTCATAATTCACCATCATATCAGAATAAAAACCATGCCATCACGCATTCAAGAAAAATCTGCTTAGACAAGTGAAAATTGGCTTGTTTCTGAACTTAATGCAACTTGAATAAAGAAAATATAATTCCTTACACTTTAAGTATCTATACTTTTGATTATTGAATCAAGGAATCCGTCAAGTGGAGAATACAAGTTGTAGAACCTCATGGCAAAAATTCACTCATTCTTGTTTTTCAACTTGACTAGTTAAATGGAAAAAGGGACAAGAAACTTAGTAAAAAAAAGAATCATGAGAACAATATCATAATAACTGGCAGTTAAAAAAAATTGTAAGTTGTTAAGAGAAATATGAAAGGAGTACCCCAAATTCTGTGTTGACTAGAGATTGAACAAAGTCCAGCAGTTGAATCTTAGCCCACTGGTGGCATATGGAAGGATCGTCTGTATGTGGAGGATGTCTCCAGGGAGCACCAAACCGCAATCTGTCTTTTGAAACCTTTCCACTTTGTGCATCCAATGCAAACTTTTGCAAGTGAAGAAGTGCTTTTTCCATCGCAGGATCAACTACAGTTAACTAAAGGAGAAGAAAGAATGTAATGAACAGTTTAGATCAAAAGTTATCTACAGCACAAATATGTGTACTAACGTCAACTTTATTTACATCAAGGATTTTCTGGTTTCTAGTGCTTGTGGAGGAAATATTATTTCATTGCTTCATGAGGTGGTCTAATTAGCACCAGAAAATAAAAATTGCAAAACTTGTGCACTTTCATTACATTGCTATTGATTTGAGGACTATGATTTCTTGGTCCTCCTAGCATGATCTCTGTTTTGCTAAAAATTTGAGCACAGAATGTTTCATTTTGCACAAGTGACTGCATTCAGGATGTCCACTATGCAAATGACAAGTTGAAGGTGTTTGAAAGTCGAAAGGATACAAAACTTATAATTGGCAATTTAACCAAAAATATCTCCTGAAGATGTATCTTACATACTACTTTTTGTTGTCTAATTACTTTTCTGATCTGAGGTTTTGCTTCATTAGTGGTTCTTCAGGTAAGTTCTACTTGTGACAGGCTTCTCCCTTATAATAAGGCAGGTTGCTGTGTTGAACATATATTATCAAAGCACCTATACATAGAAAGCTAGCAAGATGTGCACTAACACAAGTTTCTAATATAAGAAGAGAATTTGTGTCTTTTGAACTTCCAATTATATAAATGGTTTGCCCTTATTATAGATAGCTCTATGTACTTAATCAACATTACTGAAGTTCAAACAGGTGATAAGTTCTCGAACATGCGTATCACAGGTACTCTTCGCCTAGTTTTAGAAGAGAGAGTTACTTTCATTATGAGTTTGGTTTATACCAAATTGTCTCTCTTAAATTGTCTATCACAGTTATAGCAGTTGAACGTATTTTTTTTTTTATTCTTCTGCAGTATGCACCTTTTAAGAAAGGATCACACATATTAGGAAAATATTCATTTTTAGTATCATCATCACAAAATCTAGTTCTTGCTTCGAGAATATCCAGAAAAAGCAATTCCTTGTCTAGGGCTTGAAAATTTTTATGCTTATTGTTTAGATTCTTTCTTTTTTGCTTGTTCATGTAAAGCCAATGGTAGTCAAATTCATTAGAGGAAGATTTTTCAAGTCTATATAGAGATATCTTTCTTTTTGTCACTTCACCGTGTTCATTTGGTCACGAGTCAAGACTCAACAACACCATCAAACTGCATAGTCCCCTCAGATGTAATGCAAATGAAATACAGAAATTCAAAGTAAAAGCTGATATGGCAGGTTCATGTTGAATTGGATTATTAACTTAAAGAATAATTTGTACCACCACAAAAATAATGTAGCTGAGCTGTAAAGACATGACAGAGCTAATGCCATGGGTTCTGATTGCAAATAAGTGACAGTTGTGAAGCGATTAATATCAGCACAAAAGATTAAAACTTTATTATCACATTATCTTGATGCCATACGGCACAAACATCAAATGTAACACACTTCAATTAATTCTCTGTTAATTTGGATTCAATAGGACAGCAATTTAACTTCATTTTGTTAAGCAAGACCATGCTGATATATGGAGCAATTCTTCAGTTTAACTTTAGGATGTAAGGCTGAAATTTGAATATTGAGTGTTGCAAGTACAGGAATAAAATGATAACATAAAGACCACACACAGTAAACTCAAAAATCACTCCTTAGAAGCAATGGTTCTGACCAGTCCGAAAATCTGATGTTCTTACAGCCAAATTGGCCTTATAAGGTGGAGAGGTACAGGCCACTTGTTCATGTTACCTCTTGTTCCTGAATCATATTGGATTGACTACTCAACAGAAATAGCTTTAGTTAAAGTATATTTGACTAGGACAGTCATAATTATCTTGCAGTAGCAAATTTGAATTACTACTTCGGGCTTGGGCATTAGTTTTAGCTAAGGTCCCCTTCCTAGGGTTAAAGAGATTAGACTAAAACCTCTTATTAGGAGTGTATAGGATTCAAGTTGTCCCCTAGAAGTTTAAATGTGCAAACCCATTTTGAAAAGTTTGATGCTTACATTACACCGTCACATTACTTGGGTGAATCCAATGCAGGAAATCATTCTACTAAATTGGAAGGTAATAAAGGCATGGAACTCACTAAACTATCATTGAGGACTAAGGAACTTGACAAGATAATGGTTATAACTAAAAGTGCTAATTCTTTCCACAAAAATTCTGGTTTTGAGAATCAAATACATTTTCCTCTTCTTTGATTTCATCTCATAGACGCAGGAATTTGTGCTTGCCACCTGTTATTTTTCATATAAAAAAATATTTGATAATAGATCAAATTTTCAATCTTTATCCAGCATGTGATGTTGTGTTACAGGAAGGAACAGAGAGGAGAGAAGGACGAAAGAGGAGAAACATTTATGTAGACTAGATCATCCCCAAAAATCAAACAAGAAAAGAAATGTCCTTACATAGCAAAACTACACTATGTCTGTTGGCAACTCAAAAGATATCCTTAGTCTCTCAGAATCTTGCATTGTATCAAAACAATTTGCTTCTCCTATGACCACATTTGTTTAAACAAGCATGATTAACCAATAAGGAGGAACCACCCACATATATAGTGATCAATTTTCTTATGCCTAACATAATTTCCATAGAAGACTTTTCCTTTTAAGATTTTGTCAGAAGTTCATTTCTCTAGCAGTCTACTCTTAACTCCTAAAGGAAATGAGGTAATGCAAAAGCACGGACAAAGAACAATGTTGAGCAACTCAAATTAAGTGTACTTAGGCGCATAAGGCTATCAATGTTTGGAATTAGTTTTATTTCCAAAACACGTACAGAAAAATCATCAAAGCAACTTGGCTCCAAATTGCTAGCAGCTTTATGTAGCAGAACTTCAAATACCATACAAAGCAGTAGCTAATCAAGGAACTTACTTGCAGATATGCCAAGTATGCATCCACAATGTCTTCAAAGGTGCTACCTTTCTCATCCGTGACCCTACAGTAGGAAAATGAGCAGAAAAATTAACAAAAAAATAAAACAACTATACTCTTGTTAAACAGGGGGAGAGAGAGCCTGGGGGGGGGGGGGGAAGATACACTGGGAGAGGCTTTTTACTGGATAACCAACAAAGTTTATGGTAAACATCAAAATGTGAACATTTCTAACATACTCATATGGAGCTCCAATGTCTACTTTCAGCCTCTCATGCATCAACCAGGGAAAAGAACTTTCATTTGATACTAAATAATTAAATGCCATAATTTGTTTTTCTGTCTGACACATGCTATATTGCCATGGAAAGGTGACCGGGTAAAAAAGAGATATGCTCAAGTCAGACATATCAAACTAAATTAAGTACATAATACTATTGCAAGTTCTACATGAGTTTTTAGATCTACTAAAATAGGAACAGTTTTGAAGTCATTGTGACTGAAAGAAACATAATCATCCCACAAGGAATAGTGTTTAGAATTAATGTGAGAAAAAAATTAACACTTTGTCCTACAATATAGCTGTTTCAGTTAGATAGGTGATAGCTTATTGATGTACATCAAGATCTCATTTAGATTGAGGGATTTATTTCTTATGAACTACCGTGTTGTTAACATATCTACAGAGTACCAAATGATTAATACAAATAAAAGTAGAATATTGACAAACAATAAGTAAACAATTAAATAGAAAACGCTCCACAAAATCCATGAATCCAATATCACCGATTTCATATCATGAAACATGCAATATTACATGCATTACTATTGCTACTTACTTATTGTAATAGTTACTAAGCTTGAGTGCATAAACCTCAAAAAGGTGCCGCGAACTTGGCCCTAGGGTCTCAACAATTAAATTCCACTGCAATTTCAACAAGTGCACAACATTGTCAGAGCAACTAAAAACTCATGTTGAAGAAATACTAATAGTCATCACGATCATACCTCAGCTTGAGTAAAGTAATCATCAACCATGTGCATATTGGCTTCTGCTGGAGTCCACCCAAATGTCTGCATTTTTCTTATAAACTCAATCACCCAGACTCATAATCATTGGTGAACACCACAAATCACTTTAACTATCATATTCAGAATATATTCGAAAAATTCACAGCCTAAGTACAGACGATCGATCACTGGGTAAACTGCAAAGAACTGCATCTGATTTCCAACTATAACTACCAACAGTCTGTTCATTGATATGGACATTTTTATACATACATATTTACAAGAAAAAAGATTCTAACAATATTCAGGACCATCAAATACACATGCAGGTACACACAAAGAGAGTTCCTGTTACCTCACGAGAGATGAAAATATCTGGAAATCCATAATCAATAAAAGCTTGGTAAGAGTAGTAGCTGCAAGCACATATCACGTGTTCTTAGTTTTATTAATCAATTGAAGAATATATAAAAGAGAAAAGGAAATTTTGTGTATGAAAAAGTAGCTAAAATTTGGATTCATTCAAATAAAGGGGAAAGTTAGCATTAGGCATAAAAAGGCTGGGAAGCTTCATTAGGGCCTGTTGACACCTTTTGCCTATTATTACAAAAAGGTCCATTTACACCAAGGATTTCTCAAATTATGAAAATGGAAGCTTGAATAGACCATCAAAAAGTAAAGCAAGAGCATTGAAGATTTGTCAGACTATGAACCACCAAAGAACCTGTCAAATTTGCCCAGGGATTAGCCTAAGCATGCAATGAAACAGTTGGACCTTTATTAACTTTAGTACTTGATCGAAGGGATCTGCAAGAATTTAATCTTATTGTTGCTGGCTATAAAGCAGAATGGGAAACTGTCAAGCAATGCTTAGGAATGTGCAAGATCTAGCACAGAAGCTAAATCACTGCCATTTCAATCAAATTCATTTATCCATCAACAAATTATTTCTAATTGTAAAAAGTTTAAAAGGTTTCATTTTTTCCAAATTAGACATGTAAATAAGCTATTGTCACACAAAACATGAAACTTCTAAACTTTTAGGAAGCGTAATTCTCCAAAAAGAATGTAAATGTTGGATGGAAAGGTTTAAGATATAATTATGAAAAATTTTATGCTTCTATACTACTCTTTGATCAAGCAAGAAACGGATGATTTTGAGGGGTTGGACTCATGAATCACACACTGCTAATGACATGTGAAAAAGGGATGGGCTGGCAGCACTACCAAATTCTACTTCTAACTTCTGATTCTCCTACCAATCTTAAAACTTCTAATCTTCTCTAGAGTTATTTAGTTACAGGATTTCTGAAAATCCACACAATCAGCATTATGCAATATTCATAACTACAAAGGGACTATCACCACTAAAAGAAGTATAAGATGTACAAAACTTTAAGAAATTACTCAAATTACAAAAAAATCCACTGAATTGATCAAATTCTACCAGTTAATTAAATAAAACAGAGTCAAATAATGGTATCTGAAATACAGAACAAATTGAACAGTGAGATTGAAAATTCTAGAACTTCACAACAGAATGATCACTAACTTCCTCTCGAGGGATGTGGACCTACTTTAACAAGCCTATAGTTTAGCCTGTCCTGCTATGATAGGTAATCTAACATGGGTACAGTTTCACATTCTTGAATAACTAGATGTCACACTCTTTCAGCTTTGGGTTGTGAAAAAAATGCAACTACTTTCTTTTAATAAAAAAATTACTTATAAAAGTTCATACTTCATACAGAAGAAAAGCTAACGGATTTACAATTCTGAATCTCTCTTTAAGTTAAACTAGCAATCAAAAGTTGTAAATATTTCTAATTTTTTTAAAAAAATTTCTTTAGTGTAAACGGGAGAGCTCGAACCCGACACCACTCACTTAGACTCCCTCCCCCAAACCACCCAACCCGTCCCCCCCCCCAAGGTAAATATTCTAAATTCTATTAAATAAAAAGTTATTAAACAACTGTTTCTTAACTCTATAACCATCAAAGTCCAAAATCCATGTTGGAACTGAACACATTTATTAAATACATTTGAGTTTTCACTTTCTAGTCTTGTAGCCATTCCTTTTTCTTGTACTATACCTGGCAGCACTCTAAGAGTGTTATAATGAAATAGAGTAAAAGGACTAGGAAAACATCAAGGTATGCATATCTGCTGTCATCAACATTCCACTTCAAAAATCACTAAATTGGCACAATTAGTATGTTTGCTCCTATAAGTTATCAACCGCACAATTGAAGTAAAATAAAGAATATTTGATGACTTGTAGTTTTAAGTGAAAAAAATTTGATGATGCCATTTTAGTAGTTGTACAGACCAAGACCACAATTGATGATCCAGAAATCCTGTGTTATCTCCTAATTCTGGTGCTCTGACATCCAGAGAAGTAAGATTATAAATGAACTATCTATCGGCAGGGGGAAAGAAAACTTTTAACAATCTACAGTAAGCTGGTATCACATGTTGTCCATAAGGGACTAAAGCAGACCCAGCACATAAGCGTCCCGCAAGCTAGGAAGGGCTAAGTGGGCTTGGCATTAGTCCTGGACATCGAGTGGCTTTATGAATTTTTAAACCAATAACTCCCTAGGTCAGGAAAAAAGCAAACTTACCTTGTGACAAGGCATATCTTGTTCTTGACAAACTCCAAATAAAGTCATGAAGAATCAGGACATAGAATCTTGCACTTGACAAGAGCAATGAATTTGTAGCTTATAACGTTGAACATATGATAAAAAGGAACTCAAAAACCTGATGTGCTACTATGAGGTGCAGGCTTGCTAACTCAATGTGCAAATAGAAATGACAACTCAGTTAGGAAAACAACAGGAGTAGAAAGCATGCACAGGACAAACAAATAGCCACCATTCTCAACCAGTAATGTTGGGGAATGATTGAAACTATACCTATCTGACGTCACAAGAATCACAGGAAGACATCTCTCATTCACACACAGAGCTATAGTCCTCCATATAAAGCTGTCATGATACATGGATGCATTCACAGTAGTATCATCTGTCAAAACTGCATTCTTTAGGACATCAATGTTGTTTATCACCAGCTTTGGCTACAATTAATAAAATAAAACCAAGTAAGAAAAATGAATGACTACCAATTTTGACAAAAAAAATACCTATAAAATAACTCCCACAAAAAAGGCAATGGATAAGAGCCATTATAGTGGACGTATCTTACAAGCATTTCGAGCTTCTCAAATTTCAAATATAAAACACAAACATTAAATATCTTCTATTAACTAATTAGCAGTTTCATAGACTCGCTAACATTCATGAATACCATCCATTACCTACAGCATTCTATTACAATTTCCTATTCCCAATTTTCTTTTCTTCGCGGCAAATTCTTTCAAGAAACTGATCAGGAGAAGCAAAACAGAAAATACTGAAATGCATTCTACTTGGAAGTTACCTGAAAGTAACCTACTTCAGCAGCAGAAGACAATAATTCAAGCAATAAACAAGGCCAATCAGTTGCTGAATGGGCTAAAGGCCTTGAAAAGCCACCTGTCTCATTTAAATGCTTAATAGCATTAGCTCTCCACCCTTGCTGCACTTTTATAACCTCCTTAGCCAATTCCAATGCAGCCATTGCTTCCCTATAATACGAATCCTCCATCAAACTCACATCCCCCCCAAAACTCTCTTTGGCATTTAATCGAACAGATAGCTGAAAAACAGCCCTATCCCACAAATTCAATAAACTAGACAAAGAACTAGCAGCAGCAACTGCAGATACCTTCCTTTTACTCCTCTCAGAATCATCCCTTTTCACGACGTCCCTTTTTGAGTTAATTCTTAAACTATTAATGACATTCAACCCACAAATCCTTTCAATTGCTGTAGTGGGATTATGCCATTTGTTAATAGTAGTAAATATTTGATGCGAACTAATTTTACCCAGCTTTATACCCCTTATAACCATGGACTCAAGGCTTTCTTCAAGCTGATTTCTGAGAGACAAAAGAGCCGGCTGCGGCTGACAATTTGACCATGATGCCCATGGAAATGAACAACCATACTTTGGGTGCTGATCTTTAATATTCTCTGCAAAGTCCACATACCCTGTTACATGAGGTCCAGTATTCCAATCATCCAGCAAACCTGCTCCCCAAAAAAAAACCATTAAATACCAACTGTGATGAAAAATAAGAGTTGAAGGTAGTGAGAGCATATTTTCTCGTACGTTCAAGGATGAGGGTGGTTTTGCCAACGCCACGAGGACCGTGGAGAATGAGGGGTTGTGGCACGCGGTGATGTTGGGCGTGGTTGTTGAGGATGGTCTCCAGTAGTGGCCTTGGGATGATTCTCCATGCTCTTTGTACCATTTTGCAGAAGTTTTGCTGGCTGCTGGGAGAAGCCGGCGCTCGAGTACAATGGACTGGCTAACAGTGATAGTGACCAGGGACTAACTATTATTCCGACTCTGGGTAATTTGAAGTTATGGCTGCTTGGAAGTTGGATCCAGCGCCACTAAGCGGGCGATATTATTGTCGCTGGTGATGTGAGGTAATTTGATGTTGGTGATGTTAATCAATTTCATAGTAATTTGAATTAATTCCATTTTTTCCCCTCAAATCATACGCAAAATTTCACTTCGGCTCTTAAACTTCAAAATGAGACATTTAAATCCCTAAATTACAAAATCTGTTCGACTTAAGTAAGTTAGGTGACAAAAACTAGAAATCTAATGATTTATTGGGGACGTGCGTAATACACGTTTCACTAGTGTAGTTATGTTAGTGTTGTAAATAAAAAAGACAACGACATAAATATAATTTTACTTTTTTCCCCTTCTTCATCTTTCCTTTTTCTTTTGCCCTTTTTCCCATTCTTCTTCTTCCCTTCCACCCACAAACCACCGCAACAAAGTTGATTACATAAGCTATGCTCAAAATAGTTTATCTCTAACTACTGAGTTGACTGTACGGTTGTAATTGAACCGAACTGCTAGACCAAGTTGCTTGTGCATTACTTGCAAGCAGTTTGGTCAAAAACTCGACTCGAACGCGGATTGATTGAATTCGAGTAACTCGATATGAACAAACAAGTCGAGTTCGAGTATCCAATAGCAAGACTCGAAAGCTCGTTGAGCCTTGTCGAGTTTTTAAATTTTAAATTTTAATATATTATTATTATGAAATTACCCTTGTGCCCACAAGAATGGTTGAATTTATGAAATGTTTTAGGTTGTATGAAATTTTTTTGAAGGGCGATAATGTCTTTTCGTTTAAAATTTGTTAAGAAAAATAAAATCCCCAAATCTTCTTAACTTGAGCTCGATAAGGCTCATTTTAACTCGAACCCATGTGAGTCGAGTTTGAGTTCTATGAGCAATGTATCGAACTCGAGCTCGAGCTCCAGTAATGCTACTCGTTCGAGTATCTTTCTTGTAAATCGAGTCGAACTGAAGTATGACGATATTCGGGTTCCATTCGATTCAATTACATCCCTAGTTGCTTACGAAATTTTCAAACCGTGATAATCATCCTACAGTCAAATTCACTCTGAAATTGGATCTTTTGCATTTATATTTGTTTCCTGAATTCCAAATTCAAACTTCCCTTTTCTTAACTGAATAGATCAATTCAAGCTTCCCTTTTCTACCACCAAGTTACCTTCCAAATAGATAAATACCATTAAATTGCCACTATCTCACTAAACAACCACATCCATGTCTTGTGCAGTTGTGCGGACGCGACCCATTTCTTGGTAGGCTTGTTTATTGCAGCCCGAGTGATGAGGGGAAGGGGAAGCTGCGGAAGCCGGAGGAAATGGGAGAGGTGCTGAGGCTTAAACAACCACAGCCCACTAGAATTGCAATCTATTTCTTCCCCCCATTTCACTAATTGCACTCCCACAGAATCTAAATCAAGAGTCTAACTCTGCCAAATCGGGATCCTACAAAATCCAAGCTAAAAGAAATCTGTACAGAAGCATCTTAATTAAGGTAATGAATAATCCACCAAAGTTAGATTTGAAAAGGGAAAAACAAGAGAATTCTATTACTAACTAGATGATGACAGCAATGCTCTATTATTGGAAGATTGAAGTGCTGTTCAATTGGGACATTATTGAAATTAATATTGCCCTCTCTGCTGCCATTACCGTTCCAACCAAAAAGGATTTTTTTTTTCTGAAACGATAGGAATATATTGATCAAAACATAACTATACACTTGTAGAGCAACGGCTCCAAGAAACTTTACAAAGGTGTTAGACACCTTGAGGATTGTTCCATTTCTCATCAACATATATGCCTACAGCATAAGTACTCACAGATTTACTTATATTGTCAATTGTTATATCTAAACAAAATGAGCATTTTTGAAACAAAGAGCCTAAGTTGGCGATGTCATCTATCATAGTTGCCAGTCTAATGTCTTTAGTTTTCCTTGACATCAACGATGACAGAAGCTGCTTGTGGGGGATATGAACCTTCAGTTCTGGCCAATTCTTTCCTCTAGCCTTAATTAAAGCTAACCTTACTGTCTCAGCTAAGTCCAATATTGAAATGTTTGTACCTTTGTCCCTCATGGCCCAAGCTGTCTTCACTTGTCCCCTGTGATTCTTTGCCACCACTCCCCTTCCCAGCCATCTAGTGTCGTTATCCTCATAGACAGCTATGTGCAAATTGACTTCATTTGTTTCATCTCGTGCTTGAACATCTTCCATAGGTCCTCTGGATGTTTCAATATTGCTCATTGGTTCTTGTTTTTCCTTTGCTAACACCTGCTCCTGCCAATCTTTTTGAGCTTTGTGAACAATCTTCGAAGGGTGTTTCTGCTTTGAGTTGTATTGCTATTCATTCCTTGCCTTCCAAATTTGCCAAAGTATGTTGGTTGTTAGCTCAATGTGGCTCTGACCTTGTTTCCTTTTTGCTGCTTCCATTACTTCATTCCACCAATAGGAAAAGTTACCTGAGTGCGCCAATATCCCATCCCACTGAATTGGTGCCATCTTCCACACCTCCCTAGCTCTCCTGCAGCTAAGCAGCATATGCTCTATGGTTTCCACTTGTTCGCCACATCCTTTGCAAATTGGATCACCCTTCCCTGTCCTTTTGTAGACCTGGTTGTTCACTGGTAGAATTCCTTTAATGCACTTCCACAAAAAATGTTTCAATTTTCCTTTTACGTTTAGCTTCCATAACTTCTTCCATATGTTGCTGAAATTGTTTGCCACACTTGTTTCCCCCAGAGCTTCTTCTTTGTTTTTCCTTTGTTCACTCCAGTCACACAAAAGTTTATAACCCGACTTCACAGTGTATTGACCAGTTTCACTATGTATCCAATAGTTGCTGTCCTCTCTCCCTGACAAACTAACAGGTATCTGCAGGATCTTTTCAGCATCTTTTTTGTTGAAAGTTGAAAAAATTACGTACCTATTCCATCGGAAGCCCCTAATCAAATGTTCAACCTTAGACACATCACAATTGGGAGGTTTGTCTATTTGCACTCTACCATCCTTATTTCCTGGTATCCACCCATCGTTCCAGATGTTTATACTTCTGCCATTTCCCACCTTTCTTCTTGTTCCCTCTTGCACCAGGTCTCTTGAATCCATTAGACTTTGCCACATCCAAGAGAACTGTTTTGGTACTTTGCACTTGAGAATGGATTCATTGTTGAAATATTTTGCCTTCAACACTTTGCTCACCAGTAAGTTGGGGTTGGTCAGGATTCTCCATACTTGTTTCCCCAGAAGAGCTTTATTAAAGCTCTGTAGTTCTTTAAAGCCCAGCCCTCCCCACTTTTTACCTTGAGTCATTTTCTCCCAAGAACACCAGTGTATCTTGTTCTTTTCCTTAGAATCTCCCCACCAGAATTTTGCCATTATAGAGCTTATCTCTCTGCACAGCTTGTTAGAGAGTTTGAACCATGGCATTGTGTAGACTGGCATGGCCATGGATATAGCTTTAATCATGACTTCCTTCCCTGCTTGACTGAGCATCTTACTTTTCCGGTTGCTTGCTCTATTTCTGATGTTGTCCTTGATAAAACCAAAAATCTGTTCTTTTGATCTAGTAATCACCATCGGAAGTCCGAGATACTTTCCTTGTGAAGCTGTCTGTATGCTTCCCAGTTGTTGAGTCACCACTGCCTTCTCCTCAGAGTTCATATTTTTACTAAAAAAGACAGAGGACTTTTCCAGATTTATGCTCTGGCCTGATTCCTTCTCATATTGCTTTAATATGGTCATCAGTTCCCTTGCTTGTCCACTGTTAGCTTTACAAAAAATCAATGAGTCATCCGCAAAAAATAGATGAGTAAGACATGGTCCACCTCTGCTTATTTTCATGCCAAAAAGCTTTCTCCTCTCAGCAGCTTGTCTTAGCAGATTTGAAAAACCTTCAGAGCACAGAAGGAATAAGTATGGTGAAAGCGGATCCCCCTGCCTAATGCCCCTCATAGGAGTAATGTATTCCCTAGGCTGTCCATTGATGTTGAAAGAGAAAGTTACAGTATTCAAGCAGTTCATGATCCATGTTCTCCACATACCACAAAAGCCCATTCTAACCATCACAGCATCTAAAAAGTTTCATTCTACTCTGTCATAGGCTTTAGACATGTCTAGTTTAACTGCCATATACCCATCTTTCCCTTGTCTTTTATTTTTCATGAAATGCAGAAGTTCATGGGAAAGAATGACATTATCCAGAATTTGTCTTCCAGAAATAAAAGCAACCTGATTTTTACTAATACAAAAATTCAGCACAGATTTAAGCCTATTGGCCAGGATTTTGGATATAATTTTATACACTACATTACACAGACTAATAGGCCTATAGTGCTTCATATCAGTGGGGTTCAGAACTTTAGGAATAAGGGAAATCAGAGTATGGTTCATAGACTTAAGCATGTGACCAGAATAAAAGAAAGAGTCTATGGCTTTAACCAGATCAATCTTTACAATTTTCCAAAATTTCTGGAAAAAAAGATGAGTCATCCCATCTGAACCTGGAGATTTATTAGGATTCATAGCAAACAAAGCAGATTTAATCTCCTCTTCATTAACTGATCTAGTCAAGTTTTCATTCATACTAGGAGTTATTGAGTGTGGCATTCCTTCTAGTATGCTCTGTATCTCTTCACCCCCTGAGCTTGAAAAAAGATTGCTATAATATCCAGCCACTATTCTTCCCAAATCTTCTTCATTCTCGGTCCATGTCCCATCACTGTTTTGAATGTTTAGCATTCTGTTCTGCTTTCTTCTACCTCTCACGCATGCATGAAAATAGCTAGTATTCCTATCTCCCTCCCTTAGCCAATTCACTCTTGCCTTTTGGCTCCAGAATAGCTCCTCTTCTGCATAAGCCTTTTGTAACTGCTGTTTTAGAACTTTTTTCCTAGCCTTTTTGTCCTGACAGTCAGCACTATCTAACTCACCTAATTGCAGTTTAACATGATTAATCTTCTGCTTAGAGTTACTAATGAAACTATTTCTCCACTTGAGAAGAGCC